ATTTCGGTTCTCATGCGTCGGATTGATTTTTCTTGTTTGAGAAGAAAGCAACATTGAGGAAAGTTAAAAATTTTTTCTTTTGCTCTCCTTTTTTCGTTGTTTTTTACCTATTTTTGCCAAACGTGTGCATTATTTTGTACATTCAGGTATTTATCTGAGAACGTCGATATTTTGCAACGATGGAGTACGGGAATATTCTTTTTCTATTAGTTGGTTTACTTCCTTTTTACAATTTTTCTCGTTCTTTCTTTGGAGCACGTATAAAAATTGCGTTGTACATTAATAAATAAGTTATAACTTATATATAAAGACGTAAATAATTTTCTTTCACAGTACAATATATAAATAGTAACTTTTTTCTTTTTATCTTGCACGATTATAATATCTGTCATTACGTAGTATTGTTTATTCATTTATAAAAAGAATACTTACTGTTCTATAATTTTTTTCCTTTTGACTTGAATTATATAATATATATAGTTTTATTCTGAACACTTTTTTCAACTAAATATTTAAAACAAACAATGAATTCTTTTAGATACACAAAAAAAATGTCACGTCGACAATTAATTTTTCTCTATTTATTTATATTATTTACTGACGTTTTTGCTCAGAAATTTCATCCTAAACTTGAAAATAATGATAGAGAGCAACCTCAATCAAGAAATCGAATACAATCATCAATTTATAGCGAAAATAAACTTCCTGCAAGCAACAGAGGTAATAATGATAATCAACAAGAATCAGTTGTTGATCAATCACGACCACGTTCATCAATTGAATCATATCGCCGATCATCATCATCGACACCACTTGCTAGTAGTAATGAATGTAAATTTGATGTGCAAAAATATTGTATTAAAGGAAGTCAACAATTACTTTCAAATTTAAAAGTGTTAGAATGTGTTGATGATCTTGATAATGTAAGTTTTATTGGGTTTTCTGTATAGAAATAAATTATATACAAATATATATTTTATTAATATAGGCTGTGAATTTAATTAGTAAAGAATGTCAACATGTAAGTTGGATATTTCATTTTTTCTTTGTATTAATTAATTTTATTTTTAGCTTATCTATAAATTTAAATATAATATGACACTTGATCCACGTTTTGATGATGCAGCTGAAAGACAATGTTCAAAAGATTTAAAAGTATTTGATGAATGTAAAGGACATATTGGTAAAAGTGGTTCTGGTCGTCTTATAACATGTTTATATGATTTTTTACCTAATATAACTGAGTCATCTTGTCGTTATTTTATTAAACAAATGCAAGCTGTTATTTTCAATGATTGGCGTTTAATAGAACATTTTGCTGATGCATGTATGAACGATATTAAAAGTTTAGAATGTGGTCGATTAGATGATGAAAATGAAGCTGTATGTATTTAAGGGGGGCCCCCCCCCTCAGAAACCAACTTTTAGGGCCCCCCCCCCTCAGAAACGAATTCTGTTATTTTTCATCCGATTTCAACCAAAATTTCAGAGAATGTTAGTCTAGGATAGGGGAGATTATGGTTAAAATATCTCTCCAAATCTCCAATAAACTAATGAGTTATAGTCAATTTATTGGTCAAAAGTACCTTGTACGCGGGCAAGGATTTCACAATAAGGACACGAGCTAACAAGCCCGGGTGGTTTTCAAGTTATAGAGTGCCCTTAGGGCTAGATCCTCACAAGGCCCGATTTTTGAATTTCACTTTTTGTGAAATAAAAAAATTAGATATTTATTTTTTAGTAGCAATTTTTTGGGCATGAATTCGTGAATTTTACGAAAAAGGGTTTTTCAAAAACAAACAAAGGGAAACTCAAAAATCGGGCTTTGTGAGGATCTAGCCCTAAGGGCACTCTATAACTTGAAAACCACCCGGGCTTGTTAGCTCGTGTCCTTATTGTGAAATCCTTGCCCGCGTACAAGGTACTTTTGACCAATAAATTGACTATAACTCATTAGTTTATTGGAGATTTGGAGAGATATTTTAACCATAATCTCCCCTATCCTAGACTAACATTCTCTGAAATTTTGGTTGAAATCGGATGAAAAATAACAGAATTCGTTTCTGAGGGGGGGGGGCCCCCCTTAATGAAAATTTAAAAAAAGAAAAAAATTTTTTTTTCTTTTTGTATCTTTTAGATACCACATGAACCAGGTGCTGTTATTTCATGTTTATCACAAAAATATAATAAATTAAGTTCAAAATGTCGAAAAGAAATTTTTCGTTTAGCTGAAATGCAATCGGATGATTATCATCTTGATCGTGCTTTATATTATGCATGTCGTGATGATCGAGAACGTTTATGTACACAGGTTTCAAGTGGTAATGGTCGAGTTTATCGTTGTCTTTATGATCAAAAATTTAATAGTATGATGTCATCAGCTGTAAGTTATTAAAATTGAAATAAAATCTCTTTATCTAGAAATTTTGATAGTAGACAGATAATATAGTCGGTTAGTTTATCTTATTTTAATAACCAATGTTCTATCATTCACAAGTAGAACGAGCAAAGAAAAATGATATTATGAAAAATAATCATGGGCCACTGCAGTACTCGTGGATATATAAACGAAAAAAAAACGTAACATTAGATGACAGTAAGAGATCTTGATGTAATAAGTTGGTGATATTAAATTATGTCAATATGTGTTGAGTTACTTGTGATCAAAAAAATTGTTGGAAAGAAAAACAAAAGGTCACCTTGCGATTGCCACTGAAAACCTTCTTAATGATGAGCAATTTTAGTCAGTCTTGATCATGGTGTCCAAATTAGAGAGATTTTAGCTAAACTTTGTCTGCCGAAAGGCCGAAAACTTATTTTTAAGAGCGTAGAAACATAGTATGTGATACAGTAACTGTAATATTCGAAGGGGTGGTCACCTCTTACGCTGAATAAAACCTCGCTTCACAATAGAAGACCTCGAATCTTCTATTACGTCTCATTAATTTTCATTATTTTTAATTAAATGAATTTTTGAAAAAAGTAAAACTGGTTTTAGAATATGGGAAGAGAATTTTAAGAATCTAAGAATAATGCGGATCTCAGTCGTTTTAGTTCAATATCCTGGAAACTAGACATATTTTAATGTAAATACTCCAAGGAGAGAGAATTCTATTGTAAGAACAGTTTTAGTTTTAAATGATATGCATCTCAGTTCAGTGGTACAATCACTATTTTGTGGATCTCTAATCCCATTAAGAGTTTCACTACTTAAATAATTTAATGGACAATGTCTTAGAAAACAAAAAAAAGCAGTTAACATTTTAGATTATGTTTATTAGTTTTAATTAAATATTTGAAAGTAGAATCGAATTATATTCATAGAAAATGTGAATATAAGTTTCATAGTGATTTTTTTCATCCCAGAACGAGATCTGTATAGGTTAGAGTAGAGGAAGGACCTCCTCTATCTAATAGTTTACGTATTATCAGGTGTTATTGCGTACCACTAAGATGTTAATAGAAAGCGTCACTTCCATCGCATTCGATAAAAGTCATGATGAAAGTGGTACCTAGAGCCCTTTTGGATCCGAACCTGACGGGCTCTCGTGGTGCTCTCTGTCGGGGTTTCAAGAGGTAAAACCTTATAATTGTCTTTATTTGATGCAGATGTAAAGCTAATAAGAAATGTTCTATATGTGACCATAAATACTGAATTTTTTCGCTCATTCAAGATAACATCAAGCCTTGTTTTTTATTTTTACTTGAATAAATAATTACGATTATTTGTTTTAGTGTCGTAAAGAAGTTCATCGACGACAATCATTAGTAGTTGCAGATGTAAAGTTTGATGTACCATTAGCTCGAGGTAAAAAAACCAATCTAACGTTTTGGATTAAAAAATAAAACATAACTATTATCGTTTTTTAAAAAGAACATGGATGGGTAGAAAGCTTATAAATTTTTAAAGGAAACAGCTGGAGAGCTGCGATTTTTGAGCATTCGAAAGAGGACAATGGGGGATACAGATCCATGTAAAAATGAAAAATCTTTCTCATTTATCTAACCCAAATTTTGATGATCAACTGTTCGGAAATTTGAATTATATTCGATCTGAGGTAGAGTAACGCGGAATCCACATTTTTTTATGATTATTGTATAGTTTTTACATTGTTTTTTGCTAGAACACGTTCTAATTCAAAAAGAAACACCTTAGCTTTGTAAGTTGTTTAGCCAGAGGTCATCTGAAAACCAGTTGTTTCTTTTTTGCTAGCTGAACGGTCTTCATTTGTGATTGTCACGTCTTGTGGTTCCATTAAGGAAGAAAAACGAAATATGAATATATTCAGTTTTTTTAATACATTGGATATGGGTGTATAGTTTGGGTATTGCAGTCAACCAAACACACCCTCAACATCGTTATTTTCATCTCATACAAAAAGTTGAAAAGATATTTCAAAATACCGATGAATACGCAAAGCGAGTAATTGAGCTAGAATTAAAAGATGAAAGTATCAAATCAGATACCACAGACAAAGAAGAATGGTAGTGTTTTCTAACAGGTTAGTTTTGCATTTTTGCTGAAAAGTTATTTTTTATAAATAAATAAAAGATTACAAGCTCTTTTCAAGTAATTTGTCAGGAGAGAGCATTATAAAAGTGAAGAGGTGTTTCAAGTGCTGAATTCTTACTTGTTACTGTCTCGAAAGATTTACATTACGTTAAAAAGTTATAAGCATTCTATCCACTCATGTTCTTTTTAAAAGACGGTAATAATCAACATTTTTATTTAATTGTCTTTTTTTAGCATGTCGTAATGAAATGCTTGAACATAAATGTATTGCTGATCCTGCAGAAAGTGATACAAAATCATCATTAGTTAAATTACTTTTATGTTTTGAAGATGCATTAAAACGAGGTAGAAATTCAACGATGAAGTTTTTACAAAAAAAACTATTTCTAATTCTAATCTTAGGTTATCATATACAAGATGAATGTAGACGTGAAATGCTTGTTCATCGTCGTATGTTAATGTCTGATTATGAACTTTCACCCGAACTTCAATCTGAATGTAAAATGGAAATGGTACAATATTGTCCATCGTTATTTCAACAAGGTGTTTGTGGTACAATAGATCAACGTGGTGGTCGAATGATTCATTGTCTATTAGCTGCTGCACGAAAAGAAAAAGCTTTTAGTAAACGATGCTTTTCGGTCATGAATTCATTAGTACGTGCAGTTGATCCCGGTAGTGATATACGAGCAGATCCATTACTTGAAACAGTATGTCGATCTGTTATTGATACATTATGTCCAAGAATAAAACCTGGTGATTCAAATGTAATTTTATGTTTATTGGATAATTTAAAAAATTTTCGTATGACCGAAGATTGCGAAGATCGTCTTATGGAAGTGGCTTATTTTGTGGCACGAGATTTTAGGTAATAAAGAAGAAAAAAAACGAACAAGAATTCGATTAATTTGTGATTTTTGTTTTATATGATAGATTAATGCCAAGATTATTACCTACATGTCAAAAAAGTCTTGAAATTTTTTGTCAATTACCAAAAGATTGGTCAATGTATCAAGAAATAAATAGTCTTCAAGTTGGAATGTATTTAGGTTGTTTATATCAACGACGACAACAAGTATTAAAAAAAAAAAAAAACCAAGAAATTTTTAAATTATATTTACATCTTTTATTATTTAGCTTGATAAAGAATGTAGAAGTGAATTAAAACGTATTATGCATATTCGAACACAAGCTATTGGCTTAATGCCTGAAATTGAAGATAATTGTTTGACAGATTTGGCAACTTGTAAAAATCCAGAAATTAAAGGAGAAGTAAGAAAATATTTCAGTCAATATATGAAAATATACAATAAAACTCCTCTAATGTACACAACTTAGATTCAGTATAATAAGGCGATTATATTAGAGAGAGTCAAGCAAAAATATAAGTTTTATTATCATCTGTGTTCCTTAAAGTACTTAATATTTTATTAAATAACTTTAACCATCATCATTAATGATTCAACTAAGATTATCTTTTCAATTCTATTTCAATTTTAAAATTTTGTTGGAAGAACTCAAGGATGTTCAGTAATAGAAGTTTTACTGTACTATCTCTCTTTCATAATAATCTTTCAGCACATCTTTACATAGAACAGCATATCGTGAGGATGAGGACGCTGTGATTAAATTAGAGATATAGCATTTTATCTTCTACGGAGAGACGATTTAAAATTTCAGGAAGGCGAACATCTATGTTTTGGAGTACAGCCATTTAGTATGTGTTGAACTACTGATAACCAGCTCGCATCTATATAAGTTGTACAAAGCGTGCTATTTACTTTTGCATAACAGATTTTTATAAACTTCTGTATTTTTACAAGTAGTTTTTGAAATAGAGATTTTTTTGACCAATGGCAATTTACATAGAAACTAATTCTTTAATAGAAATGCATAGATGAAATTTCGCTTATTGTACAGAATTCAATGCTCAAAAATAATATTGACTTAAAGCTGTTTCAAGACGATAGAACCTAAACTGCTATTTTGCTTTGTACAAACACAATTTTGGAATTTTTCATGAAATTTACTGATAGTTATTCGATCTTGCCCAAGAAAGAAAATCTAAACATATATTCGGAAACAGCGAAAAATTCTGATTCTCTAGTTCTAACCAGTTGTTTTCTAGTTACCAAATATGTCGCGCCCAGAATTTAGATTATGAAAGATCTTTGCACCAGAGATGTCCACAGCGGTGTCAGCGGCACTTGTTTTAGAAATCATCGCGACATGGGAGATATTTCAAGAATACCAGCACGGCAGCGACAGCTTCTTCTATTTATTGAAATTGTAAAATTGGATGAATCTGCACTCAATTTGAGGGTCTAATGGTCAGAATCGAGATTGAGTGTGATGAATTCAATACAACTGTACTAATTTGGCACAGTGGCAGAAGAGATTTTCGTAGAGTTTCTCGAAAATCATCACAGTAGCGGCAGTTCATATACAGTTTACCTCATCGCAGTGATGGCGCTAAGCCTTGCCCGTTCTAGGATGGCGTCGCAGCAGCGGCAAATTTCTAGCCATGATATACATCGCTACTTTGCACACATTCTTCTAATATGTTCAAAATAGGATTTCTGCAAGAATTTCTTCGTCATTAATATGATAATACCATAGAATCATTCATTCAAAAATAATATCGTCAGTGATAGATCTTGAATAAAGATATGTTCTCGTATGCTTTAAATTTTATTGAACGACATTGAAATCTTATAATTTCGAAGAAAAAAAAATATTTTGTATCATTAAAATTTTCTTTTTAGGAATTCAA